GGCTTCGAAGCAATTACAGAAGAATTGCATTTACTGTAAGTAAAGCTGGACAAGATGGCCCGATCCATTGGCTTTCCCAGGTACAGGGAAATCCTCACTCACTATCCATCACTAGAAACAAGAACTCCTAGTTTTGCCTAAGCTTTTTTTCCCAGCGCAAGAGATAAAGAATATTAACTTTCATGGGAACATCGGTTTTTAAACGCTGCCTATGTCCATGACGCCTAAAGAGTCATCAGCCTCCTCCAACAGGTAAGTCGCCTGCTAACAGAGCCCATGGCTCGAGAGGGGTCCCTGTGGGCTGATCCTCCCTCACGGGGGATGCAGAATGGGGCTCAAACGAATGAAATAATGCTGCTCCCCAAAATCTGGCCACCCACAAAACTCAGAAAGACGAGTGAAGCTAAGACCAAGATGAAGCTTTCCCGAGCAGTCCCCCACCGCCCACCTCCCACCCCGCACTCCCAAATGGCTGCGTCCCACTTCGTGATCCCCTTCTAACAAAAGTGCTTCCGCTGGCACAGGAAGGTCGCCTTCGCTCAGAGAAACGGTGGTTGGAAACTCAACCAAAAGTATCTGACACGCTGTTCCTGTGCTCAGCAAGTTACCTGCACGGCCTTTTGCAGCACCGGATCCAGAAACAGAACAAGATGCCCGGCGGTGGAAATGAAGGATGTGAGCTTTGGCCTAATGATAAGAAAGGCTTCCAGGAAAAGGTGGACTGATCATTTCTCCTCGCACTGAGCTGTTCACATGGGTGGCACCCATGAGTTGTTACGTTGCTTTCATATTGATTAGAATTTCAAAACAAAGAGATAGTACACCTGAAACTAATATCATATTGCACTCCAGCAATAACTGGAAAATAAATTTTTTTTATTTGTACTCTCCAAACCCTTCACTGCAGTAAAGCTTATGATATAGTCATAAAATTAATAACAACAATAATAATAGCGTCACCATGGAAGAGAATGAGACCCTGACCTTTTGGATATCTGCTCATTTTCATTCATTTCACCAGGGATCTTTACTATCACCACTGTTTTAACGCCACTCAACGCCTCACGGCCCGCACAGCTCCTGCTTCACACATGCAATGTTTCTTGTGCTCTTCAGTGAACAAGTTCCTTCTCCTTTCCATTTGTACAGCTCCATTCCCTCTCGGGATGTTACCCTCATTCTGTCTGTTAAAGTTTTCGGGTACACGGGGTCTTTATGGGGCTCTGAGCTACACACAGGCAGGGTCCGAGTTTTCCTATTGCGTTCCACGAGTGTCCCGGTCGGTGCCTGACACACAGTAGGTGTTCAGCACACACAGAATGGAAGGGAGAAGTTAGTTTGCTAGATTGTTTAGGCCCTCTCCAAATGGCACTTTCTAGAATGGCAAGGCTGCAGAACGGCTGATTCCAGGGTGTTAATTATCAGAATCCAGGGCAAGAATCCTGCCCTGGTGCCACTCCCTCCGTTTCCTCTGCCCGGAAGCCTTTTCTTGAGATAGACATTTAGTTCTTTCCTCTTTCTCCTGCTATCTTTGCTCAAATGTTACCTCCAAACATGAGCCTTCCCTGTCTAGCTTATTGAAAATGTCAACACACCCAGCTACGGTTTGAATGTTTATGTCCTGCAAAATGCACATGTTGAAATCCTAACCACCAAGGAGACGGTACTGGGAAGTGGGGCTTGCAGGAGCTGCTTAGGTCAGGAGGGTGTAAACGGGGGTTAAGAATTTCATAAATGCGCTTAGTGCCTTACAAAGAGACCTCACAGAGCTCCCTAGCTCCTTCTGCCATGTGAGGATAGAATTTGAAGTCTGCAACCATCCTGACACCCTGATCTCAGACGTCCAGAACAGTAAGAAATAAATTTCTATGGTTTCGAAGGCACTCAGTTTGCCGTATTTTGTTACAGCAGCTTGAATGGACTAAGACACCCCTGTCCCCCACCCCACCGACACACACACCCAGGAACTCCCTATCCTTTTTTCCAAATTATTTCTCTGTATACCTCTGATCATCACCTCATACACTGCATATTTTACTTCTAATTTTTTCTTCTTTTCTACTTCCCACCACACATCCTAGAGCATAAGTTCTCTGAAGCAGAGATCTTTATAAATTGTAATTACTCCTTTACCCACAAATGCTTAGAAGAATCCCTGGCAGCTTAAGCACAAGATAAATACCCAATAAATAGCCTTGGAATGAATTTTTAAAATGAATCATACAGCATTTCTAAAGCCCCTACTTGTATTTGGCACTGATCCTACGTAAGATAACTGCTATAAGCCAAGAAATACCACTTGATCCAATACATGCGACTCAGCGCGTCTGCCCAGGCAGGGGGCAAGCAGCACATGGCAGAGCAGAGCAGGCGCCCCCCCCAAAGGTTAGGACATGCTCCAGTCTTCCCGATCTTCACCCTGAACAAGTCAAGAACCAGCAGGTGGACGAATGGCTATGCTGTGAAGCTCTGACAATATGTGACAAAGGAGTTCAGACATGGAAGAAGTCACTTTATAGTCATCACTACCAGGAGAAGGGTGGTAGTCAGCTTCTGAGACACCCCCTGGGCACCCTGTCCTCTGGCAGTCACATCCCTGTGTGGTCTCCTGCCACAATGAGTCAGGACCACCCTATGGAGCTGACAGAGAATTTCCAGAGCACAAAAGGTATCTCAGCTCCAGCCTCGGTGCCTGGGATCCCTCACTCTTTGAAAGGCGGTGGTCATGCTGTGGTGACTCTCGGGAAGCCTCGTGGAGGAGCCCAAGTGGAGAGGAACCAATCCGCCAGCATCACGCTGCCAGCGGTGGGAGTGGGCCACCTTGGGAGCAGACCCTCTAATCCTGGAGAAGTCTTCAGAGGACTGTCGTCCCAGGCAACACCTGATTTCAGCCTCATGGGTGGTCCTGAACCAGAATCCCCTGTGTGAGCTGCTCCAGAATTCCTTACCCACAGCATTCATGAAAAGCAATAAATGATCGTTAAGTGTTTTCAGCCATTAATCCTGGAAGATTTAGTATGCAGCCACAGATAACTAATACAAGAGGTACTGGAAATGACTTCCACAGAGGAAGCAGGGCCTGAAATGGGGACATCAAAAAAACTGGAGGCATAACAGGCAAAGCAGAAAGGTGAGCCTGGGGGGGAAACTATGAGCAAAGGCAGGCATGTCTGTTACACAGAAGCCACACCCACACAGAACCTCAGGATGGGAACAAAGCTAAAGGACGTTTAGTCCAGCTTTTCATCTAATGTTAAAGTCCATTCTTAAAATAATAAAACTAAGGCAGGGACTGCATGAATTTATCTAAGCTAAAACCCAGGAGAAGGCTGACTTCTTATAATTCTCTTCCATGTAGTGATACAAATGAGGAGAGTCCAGTCATAACAGGGGCTACATTCCTCAGTTTGAATCGAGGTCACTCCTGAGAGTGACTTAGTAAGAGTTGAGTGAGGAAGAGGGAGAGAAGGAGGGGGGAGGAGAAAAAAGGGAAAAGGGGGAGAAGCAGAAGGAGGAAAAGAAGGAAAAAGAAGAAAGAACAACAACAATAACAACTCTACAACAACAGAAGAAGAAAGAGGAGGAGAGGAAAGAAGGAAGAAAAAACTGGTTTATTAAATGCTACGTGGTCGGCGTTGTCCTAAGTTTTTTAAACACATCATCTCATTTTGCCCTCACAATAACTCCTCATTCTCAAATTATTTTAATTCTATTTCCTCCCTTCCTTCCCAAGAGACTCTCCCTCCTGATCTGAGGTAGAGGAAGTGGACAACTCTAGAGAGGGATTAAGTTACCATGCACCTAACCTCTTGTCTGGAAAAATCTGACAATGTAGTTAAAGCTCCAGCAGGGTCCAGAGAAGAAAGAATCCACTCCCAGGTCTGGGGCACCCGCCACACTGAAGATATAAGATCACATTTCCTGGACTGCTGATCACTACACCCCTATTCAAAGGAATAACGTACCGGAAATGGAAAAGAAAAAACTACAGCTCCCTCTGTCCCAAGAAACGGCATTTTCCTGGCCCCAGAGTGGGTTCTGTCAGAGGCCAGAAGTAGATTTGAGGACCCCACCTGGAGAAAGGATTTCGCCACAAAGATAATGCCCTGTTTGAAGAAATAGGTACAGGTGTTTGCCTTCAACCAAAGGGAACCACGAGGGAACTTGTTCTGTAGGGAGTCACCTTCAAAAAATTCGGCCACATGAGCAGCGGTATAAAGAGGGGAGGACACCCAGGTCAAGCCAGAGGAGGTGGAGGTGGTGACCTTCCCCCCTCCCTGCCACGTGTCATCCTCCCGTGAGAAGGAGGCAGATGCTGAACTGCGACCAGAGAACACAGGTTTTAAAACTTACTCAAGGTACTAAAATAGCTGCGTATAATTCTGAGAAAAAAAGACACAGACAATTAATTTTAAAATGTATACATACATTAGAGAGTTTGGAAAATAAGGCCTATACCAATCAAAAGCCTATAGAGTAACGGTCAAAACACCTTAACATCTGTAAGACCAGGAAAACTAGAGCTTCAAAAAAATCCCATCCCAACGGCATTGATGATGGACGTGAAAGGGCCACCATCAAGAAAGGCTAGGAATGATCACCAAGATCTCATATACATGGGGGTCAACAGAAGATGCTGGAAGTAGACTAAGAGGGGGCCCAAGAAGCGTCTATGGAGAAGAGGAGTCACAAAAATTCTTTCTCGTAAAACATGACACAACCTCTTGACACAACGAACTTACTGGAGTTGGCAACCAGAGAGGCCATCCTGATTTGCAAAAGGATGCTCTGCTGTCCAACCCACAGGGTCAAGGAAAGCAATAGCTACCGTTCAGTCAAGGCAAGTTCCCAGAGAACACAGCCTGGGCTGGAGAAACGTGACCCGTGCCTCTTTGCATTTCCCCACACCCCGAGCACAAGGCTCAACACAGGGCAAGTACGTGGCTACGGGGGCGGGGGGGTCCGAGGCTCAGGTGCCAAGGCCCCTGGCCCGTGTTTACCGTCATTGAAGCTGTCGCTGGTGGTAACGTGCGTGAAAGGCGACTGCACCCGAGGCTCCTCACACAGAGAGTAGCTGTGCTCGGCCTGGATGAGAGGCGCCGGGGACGTGGGGGACGGCTCCACCTCCATGGACACGCTCTTCTCTGAGAGGAAAGGGTCATTCAGGAGCTGACCCAAGACGTTCTGGGAAAACTCATCAAGAAGTTCTGAGAAGTGCTGCAAGAAACAAAGGAGGAAGAACTCAGTTTTCTTAACTGTGATCTGATAGTTACACACAAATTCTAAAGCAAATATGTTCCCCGGGGCTTTAAACAAGGTCACAGATACACAATGTCCAGTTATCTATGGCTGTGCAGCACACTACCCCGGAGGTCAATGGCTTAAAGTAACCACAGTTCACTATTCCTCGCCCCTTGGTGGGTTGGCTGGGTGGGTGAGCTGCTTTCCTCTGGGTTCAGCAATATAATTGTACTGAGCTAGAAGGCTGGCCGGGAGCTGGCATGGGCCGGGACAGAAGACACCTGGGCCTTTTGCTCCAAGAGGCTTTCTCAGCCTTGGATTCCTCTTATGGTGGTAGAAACGCCCCAAGAGGGAGAAGAACAAAGCTGAAGAGCTTCAGAAGTCATCCGTCATCATCCCTCCCTCCACATTCTTTCTGTCAAGGCGAGTGACAAAGACCAGCCCAGATTCAGGGGGTGGGAGAATAGATTCCAACTCCTGATGAGAGAAATGGCAAAATGACATTGCAAAAGAGTGTGGACAGAGGTCAGCATAACTCACCAGGGCCCTCGCCGTGACTGCCTACCATGATCGGCACTGGGAATATTTTTCAATAGCTATCCTGTTATCTATAGCCAGGGGCCAAGTTCAAAGGCATCCGAAGCAATCCCCTGTATTCTCCCCACCACCTGGACTTGGTTCCTCTCCAGTTTTTCCTTGATCTCCTTAATTTCTTCTCACCCTCCATCGCCAGCATCGCCAATTCCCAAGCCCCCACCCCACCATGAAGATGGCACAGGAATAATCTCTATATATAGTCACGGGGATTCCTACATCTCTTGTTCCGCTGTTTCACTCTGAGGAAGCTGCAGCCCCCGCCTCTCCCTCACTGACGCGGGGACACTCGTGGCATGAGGATCCAGTGAGCAGGGTTTCATGACCTTGGCAATGTTGACGTTGTGGACTGATAATTATGGCAGGGGGTTGTCCGCATGTTGCAGGCTATTCAGCAGCATCCCTGGCCTCTACCCACCCGACGCCAGTAGCATTGCCTGAGTTTTGAAAATGAACAATGTCTCCAGATGCCACGAAATGGCCCGAGGCGAAAAAATCATCATTGCTCTAGAACCACTGCTACAGAGTATATTAATAATAATAATAACTTAATTCAATTTAAAAGTACATTTTGACAATAGCTGTTCTAGCCACTTCTTCCTTCTTAATGCTCCCTGAGTCACAGGCTAACATGTGCTGATTCAACTTAGGGATGTTTCTGGTATAGCAAGGAAGTTAGTACAGAGCAGATAAAGGAGTAAGAGAACTGATTGCATATGGCGCTACTTGGGTGGGCAATGAAAACTACTGGCATTCACATGGCCAAGCCCTACCGCTGCACTGAAGTGTCAGGGAAGATGTTCTGAAGAGGAATACAATTTGGGGAGTGGAAGGCAGCACGTGACCCTAAGGCAAGAGCTTTAAGACTGGGGGAGTCGTGGGACAGAACCTCTCCTCCAGCAAAGGGGAGACGCAGACAGCACAGCAGCCCCCTGTGGGCGAGGTCCCTAACGTGGAGTTGGATTGGTGAGTTTCACCAACATCACAGACATGAGAAATGGCTGCATGTCATGAGGACAGGATGCAGAAAAGTCACAGGACTTGGGCTCATCCCAACAGGCTTGGGTCACCTGTGAGAACAAGACAGCATGGCTGGGAGAGAGCTCTCTGCGTACGAGCACATTTAAAACTGAAAGGTCCTCAGCAACATCTATGGCAAGAGTTCTCAGATGCCAGCGTCTACATTGCAATTTACAGGAAAGCTTTCTTTTACTCATTTTATAATGAAATATTTTAAGCATCAGAAAAATTATAGAGAATAGTACCATGAATAATTATGTATTCATTCCTTTGGAAAGATCCTATTTCTCCATGTTTGCTGCTGCAACCTTTTCTCCTTTACTCCTTTTTTTAAAAGAAATAAAATGGGAAGGGACTGCTAAAACTCCCACCCGATCTTCTTTCCTCTCAAAGTTAACTCCGACCCCAAACTTGGTGTTTATCATCCCCATCCACACTTTTACTACGTATTTACGTTTTCATTGCCTACATATAAATTTTTAAAAGTTTAAATATGCAGCATACCTCGCGCATCCTTCTACAACTTTATTCTCTCTAAAAAAAAAGATTTTTAGATGTATTCATGATTATACCCATAGCTCTATTTCATTCATTTAAACTTCTGAATTGTACTCTATTCTGTCTATCCATTTCCTCTTCACGGGTATGTAAAGAGTTTGTTATTATATGCGATCCTGTAATAAACATCCTTGAACATGAAGGGAACTTTTTTAAAGTGCTAATCCAGTGACCCACCTTCAGAGATCTTGACTTGGTTGGTCAAAGCCCTCTATAATCAAACTACTGCCACCCTGTGATGCTAATGCTCACTTCAATTTTTCAGCCACTGAAGTCCCACCCCTTCTCCACTCGGCATCCCTCTCCCCCCACACCACTTTCCATCCCTACAAGTTGACAAAGTCCCTAGGTGTCCAGATATGCCTGAGTCACAGGAAGAGTCATGGGTTTCACAGCTACCATGCGCTAATCTTTAAATAGACACTGGGGATACAAAATGATAAATAAGAAGATAGGAGAAGCCAATGCCTTCCTTGAGCTCACCATTCAGCAGCTGCTTCTCCGACATTTATGTGCTATGAATCACCTGACTCCCAACTTTAGATAACTCCCAAGTCTAGTGGGTGTGAGATTCTGCATTTCTAACCAGCTCCTAGGGAGGCCGCTTGTCCCTAGTGAGGAGCAGAACCACCTCAAGGTTAAGATTACAACCTTCAATAACCTGAAGTCAGGATCTGATTCCCCTAAGCAGCTCCCCAAAGACAAATTTACTGGCTGGCTGATAGTAAATATTCTACAGGTCATCTGGACAGGGTTCCTTTCAAGACCAAAATTAAGGTAACAAAAAGAGAAATAAATAACACTGAGTGTAAAATGCAAAACCAAGAGTTGAACTCACATTGCCAAGCCACAGTTCTGCTGCCCGAGCTACAATGTCAACTCTGGGCAGCTGTGTGGGCCCTGCCCAACCTCTAGAATCCCATTCTGTCCCTGGGAAAGGCTCTCTTTGATGGCCCGAGCTTTCCCACGGAATTGCCAGCCTGGAACTTTGCTGACGCCGTTCCCTTTCTCCTGTGCAGCACTAATGAATGTTTCCATGAACATCCCCTGGATAACCGATAATAAAACTTCTCAAACTCCGCCAACCGTCCCCGAATTCCCCCTACTTTGGATTTTGTAGTAATTATCACGTTACCACACAACATAGCCCTAAATGATGATCAGTCCTGAAGAACTCCCCGTTGTTACCAAATGCATTATGATAACCTTCGCTCTGCACAAAGAGCCTCCTCAGAAGAAGGGCCCGACTGTGCCTAACCAGCCTGCACACCCGGGAACTCAGCAGAGGGGTGAGCACTCAACAGTTCCCAGGAAGACACTGTGATTAAAAAGATATGCCCAGCATGTCCCAACCAGACGCTGTGACTCAGCCCAGCAAACAAGCGCCAGCTGTGGCTCCAGGGCTCAGGAGACAGGTCAGCATGCTCCTGCTGACGCAGGGACCAGGCTGGAATCGGCCCATCCTTAATGCCAGCCGATGAGACAGGGCATACGGTCTTGGAGCCCAAAAACCAGAGGAAGGAGCAGAGTGAGCTTCCAAGAGGGAGGCTTTCTAGATCCTGCACACACTTTGGCAAAGGACTACTCATGTGAACCTCAGGGTTATGCAATTTTAGTGGGATTCTTTTAAGCACATGTCCACAATAGCATTTTACCACTCTGTCTAATAGTTTAGTCAAGCTTTATGGGTCTACAAAGTACTTTCATAGCATTCTTGTCCATCAATGCTCACAGCAATGCCATTGTCCAAGGTCTCAGTCACCTACTGGTAAGAGACAGACCTTGAAGTAGGGTCCACTTACTTCAGATTGGCTGAATTTCTCTGCATTGTCTCTCTAAGAAAGAAGTATTGGAGCTTCACAATCCAGCTACATGGGGAAATGCTAACAAGTATCAGACACAATGCTGATGCTAGTTATTGATGATGATATTGATAGGATTGGGTGCTAGAGGACTAAGTGTTTGAACATGCTAGACTTTCAGAAAAGGAGCTGGGTGCTTTCCTATAAGGTAGACATGTCTCCATTTATTTACAAGGAAACTGGGGCTCAGAGTATGAAGGTCCATTGCCTAGGGCAGAAGTGAGATTCTATCCCAAGTCTAGCCATTTCCAAAGCCCATGCAATCCAAAGAGCATGCTGCCTCATTGAGGTCAACCCCTTAAGCTGACACGTAGTGTAGACTGGAATTTAAAAGAAAAAAAAAGAGAGAGAGAGACTTATTGACAGCCCATCCACTTATCCACACACAGCCTTCCACATTCAACATGTAGAAACATGCCAGGGGGCATTAGACAGAGAGGCTCCTGGTACGCCTTCCGTGGACATCAGCAATAAGGATGAAAATATTTCCTTGTCCCTGGTATATGGTTCTCTGCCAAAGGGTTCAAAGTAACATCACAGAATTTCCAGACTGGAAGAAACCTCCTCACCCACCTCAACAACTTCCTTTAAGAATCCATGTCAAGGATTCTTAAACAGCCAACACTGAATGGCCTCCAACCTGGCCCCAAGAGTCCTGTAAAGTGTTGTCTCAACTTTATTTTAATCCATGATACTTTCATTCCAACCCTAAGGGAATTCCTTATGACATTGTAGCAATATAGCTTTGGAGCCAGACAGCCTTGGATTTGAATCCTGGCTCCTAGCTAAGCAGACCTGAGCAACAGCCTCCAGTTCTCACACCTTCCCTTTGCTCCCTCTGTAAATTGAGGATAACAGTAACACCAGCTTCCTATGGTGAAGATTAAATTAAATAATGCATGTAATGCACCTTGCACTTCACTGGATTAGTGATCTTTTTTT